ATTTGTTAATGAAAACGAACTGATGCGCAGCAGATGATATCCGAGATGTGGCTGCACGTGCAGGCCTTCCACAGCTGCCTACTGTGCTGCATAAATGTATGTCGTTTATTAGTACGGGGCCGTGGGCCTCTGGCTAAATTGTTGGCACAGAGCGCATTTTGAACACACAGCGATTTGTATCTTTCGAAGTACTACTGGCAATGAGACGAAGAGTAAGCTGTGCATTGTTATTATGCGTTTTGTGCTGTGTAACAGCAATACAAAACGCATATTGTCACGGGGTTGTCTGTGTGTGTTTGTATGTGTATGTGTATGTGCGTGTGTGTCCCACATTTTGTCCCGCACTTTGAACTCGGGAACCACAAGAGCTAGACGGCTGAAATTTTAGTTTAGTGCTCTCCGCCAACGGATGACGCGGCAAATTTAAATTCAACCTTCCCGTACCCGCGGGTAACACGTACGGCCCCGTAAAAGTTTTTCGGGTAAAATCAGTATCTCAGGAACCATGGAAGGTAGAAAGCTGAAATTTTGTGAGCATGTCCCCTGCCCATGTACTACCCAGGAAATTTAAATTCAGCTTTCTCCTGTCCGCGGATAATAAGTACGGCTCCGTGAAAATTTTTGACGGGTAAATTATTATCTTGGGAACCACGGGGTCTAGGAGGCTGGAATTTTAAGGTAATGATCCCCTGCCCACGTTCAGCCTTGCCCATTCAAATTCGTCATTCCTGCGCCCTCGGGTACCACCTACGGGGTAGTGAAGGTTTTGCGAGTAAATTATTATCTTGGGAACCACAAAGTCTGCAAAGCTGAAATTTTAGGGTAATAACCCCTTGCCCACGCTCAACCTTGTCTATTCAAATTCAGCTTTCTCGCGCTCTCGGGTGTCACCTACGGTCTCGTGAAAGTTTTGGTGTGTAGACTATTAACTCGGGAATCACGGAAAGCTACTCACCCTTCGGTGTTTCGAATCCAGCTTTCATGCGCATGTGCGTGAAATTTCTAAATATTTTTCAATGTTTGAACTATTTTTGCATAGACTAAAGTACAACGCAGTGG